CTTCGAGTCACGTCTGAGCCTCTGTGCGGCTTTGAGTCACGTCTAAGTCGCCCTGCGGCTTCGAGTCACGTCTGAGCCTCTGTGCGGCTTTGAATCATGTCTAAGTCGCTGTGCGGCTTTGAGTTTTATCTGAGCCTCTGTGTGGCTTTGAGTCACATCTGAGCCACTGTGCAGCTTCCAGCCACATCTGAGCCTCTGTGCGGCTTTGAGTCATGTCTGAACCTCTGTGTGGCTTCGAGTCACATCTGAGCCACTATGCCGCTTCCAGCTACATCTGAGCCTCTGTGCAGCTTTGAGTTACGTCTAAGTCCCTGTGCGGCTTCGAGGCGGGGTCTGAGCCTCTGTGCGGCTTTGAGTCACGTCTAAGTCGCTGTGCAGCGTCGAGTCACGTCTGAGCCTCTGTGCGGCTTTGAGTTACGTCTAAGTCGCTGTGCGGCTTCGAGTCTTATCTGAGCCTCTGTCCGGCTTTGAGTCACATCTGAGCCTCTGTGCGGCTTCGAGTCACATCTGAGCCTCTGTCCGGCTTTGAGTCACATCTGAGCCTCTGTGCGGCTTTGCGTCACATCTGAGGCTCTGTGCGGCTTTGAGTCACGTCTGAGCCTCTTTGCGGCTTTAAGTCACGTCTAAGTCGCTGTGCGGCTTCGAGTCTTATCTGAGCCTCTGTGCGGCTTTGAGTAATATCTGAGCCTCTGTCCGGCTTTGAGTCACATCTGAGCCTCTGTGCGGCTTCGAGTCACATCTGAGCCTCTGTGCGGCTTTGAGTCACATCTGAGGCTCTGTGCTGCTTTGAGTCACATCTGAGCCTGTGTGCGGCTTTGAGTTATGTTGCAGCCTCTTTGCGGGTTCGAGTCACATTCTAGGTTCTGTGAGGTTTTGAGTCACGTTAGAGCTGCTGTGCAGCTTCGAGTCACGTCTAAGTCGCTGTGCGGCTTCGAGTCACGTCTGAGCCTCTGTGCGGCTTTGAGTCACGTCTAAGTCGCCCTGCGGCTTCGTGTCACGTCTGAGCCTCTGTGCGGCTTTGAATCATGTCTAAGTTGCTGTGCGGCTTTGAGTCTTATCTGAGCCTCTGTGTGGCTTTGAGTCACGTCTGAGCCACTGTGCAGCTTCCAGCCACATCTGAGCCTCTGTGCGGCTTTGAGTCACGTCTAAGTCGCTGTGCGGCTTTGAGTCTTATCTGAGCCTCTGTGTGGCTTTGAGTCACGTCTGAGCCACTGTGCAGCTTCCAGCCACATCTGAGCCTCTGTGCGGCTTTGAGTCACGTCTGAACCTCTGTGTGGCTTTGAGTCACGTCTGAGCCGCTATGCAGCTTCCAGCTACATCTGAGCCTCTGTGCAGCTTTGAGTCACGTCTAAGTCACTGTGCGGCTTCGAGGCGGGGTCTGAGCCTCTCTGCAGCTTTGAGTCACGTCTAAGTCACTGTGCGGCTTCGAGTCTTATCTGAGTTTCTGTGCGGCTTTGAGTCACATCTGAGGCTCTGTGTGGCTTCGAGTCACATCTGAGCCTCTGTGTGGCTTTGAGTCACGTCTGAGCTGCTGTGCAGCTTCCAGCCACATCTGAGTCTCTGTGCGGCTTCGAGTCACATCTGAGCCTCTGTGCGGCTTTGAGTCACATCTGAGCCTCTGTGCGGCTTCGAGTCACATCTGAGCCTCTGTGCGGCTTTGAGTCACATCTGATGCTCTGTGCTGCTTTGAGTCACATCTGAGCCTGTGTGCGGCTTTGAGTTATGTCGCAGCCTCTTTGCGGGTTCGAGTCACATTCTAGCTTCTGTGGGGTTTTGAGTCACGTTAGAGCTGCTGTGCAGCTTCGAGTCACGTCTAAGTCGCTGTGCGGCTTTGAGTCACGTCTGAGCCTCTGTGCGGCTTTGAGTCACGTCTAAGTCGCTGTGCGGCTTTGAGTTTTATCTGAGCCTCTGTGCGGCTTTGAGTCACATCTGATGCTCTGTGCTGCTTTGAGTCACATCTGAGCCTGTGTGCGGCTTTGAGTTATGTCGCAGCCTCTTTGCGGGTTCGAGTCACATTCTAGCATCTGTGAGGTTTTGAGTCACGTTAGAGCTGCTGTGCAGCTTCGAGTCACGTCTAAGTCGCTGTGCGGCTTCGAGTCACGTCTGAGCCTCTGTGCGGCTTTGAATCATGTCTAAGTCGCTGTGCGGCTTTGAGTTTTATCTGAGCCTCTGTGTCGCTTTGAGTCACGTCTGAGCCACTGTACAGCTTCCAGCCACATCTGAGCCTCTGTGCGGCTTTTAGTCACATCTGAGGCTCTGTGCTGCTTTGAGTCACATCTGAGCCTGTGTGCGGCTTTGAGTTATGTCGCAGCCTCTTTGCGGGTTCGAGTCACATTCTAGCTTCTGTGAGGTTTTGAGTCACGTTAGAGCCACTGTACAGCTTCCAGCCACATCTGAGCCTCTGTGCGGCTTCGAGTCACGTCTGAGCCTCTGTGCGGCTTCGAGTCTTATCTGAGCCTCTGTCCGGCTTTGAGTCACATCTGAGCCTCTGTGCGGCTTCGAGTCACATCTGAGCCTCTGTGCGGCTTTGAGTCACATCTGAGGCTCTGTGCTGCTTTGAGTCACATCTGAGCCTGTGTGCGGCTTTGAGTTATGTCTTTGCGGGTTCGAGTCACATTCTAGCTTCTGTGAGGTTTTGAGTCACGTTAGAGCTGCTGTGCAGCTTCAAGTCACGTCTAAGTCGCTGTGCGGCTTCGAGTCACGTCTGAGCCTCTGTGCGGCTTTGAGTCACATCTAAGTCGCCCTGCGGCTTCGAGTCACGTCTGAGCCTCTGTGCGGCTTTGAATCATGTCTAAGTCGCTGTGCAGCTTTGAGTCTTATCTGAGCCTCTGTGCGGCTTTGAGTCACGTCTGAGCCACTGTGCAGCTTCCAGCCACATCTGAGCCTCTGTGCGGCTTTGAGTCACGTCTGAACCTCTGTTTGGCTTTGAGTCACATCTGAGCCGCTATGCAGCTTCCAGCTACATCTGAGCCTCTGTGCAGCTTTGAGTTACGTCTAAGTCCCTGTGCGGCTTCGAGTAACATCTGACCCTCTCAGTGGCTTTGAGTCACGTCTAAGTCGCTGTGCGGCTTCGAGTCTTATCTGAGCCTCTGTGCGGCTTTGAGTAACATCTGAGCCTCTGTGCGGCTTCGAGTCCTATCTGAGCCTCTGTCCGGCTTTGAGTCACATCTGAGCCTCTGTGCGGCTTCGAGTCACATCTGAGCCTCTGTCCGGCTTTGAGTCACATCTGAGCCTCTGTCCGGCTTTGAGTCACATCTGAGCCTCTGTGCGGCTTCGAGTCACATCTGAGCCTCTGTCCGGCTTTGAGTCACATCTGAGCCTCTGTGCGGCTTCGAGTCACATCTGAGCCTCTGTGCGGCTTTGAGTCACGTCTAAGTCGCTGTGCGCTTTCGAGGCGGGGTACGGCCTGCGGGAGGCACGCTGTACCCCGCCTCACGCCCATAGACTTCGAGTTACGTCAGATCTCCTCCAGAATTTTAAGAGTCGTAAATGTTTGGTGTCTCTTTAAGACAACTTATGTAACTCCCTCTATAGGGATGTACAGGAGATGTATGCTTGCTGACGGACACGTGGACTGTAAGATGGACTTTGGACTTCCCATATGCAAATATCAAGAACTCATACAGCTCCAAAGACCTTCTCTTGACAAATCAGAATACAATCTTGTTTTTTCTGCTCATAATATAAACCTATTTTTAAGAGAAAACCTTAAATAAAGAGAACTATATGAATAGGATCACAGGAATCTGAAGAAGACCTGCAAGGGTATTTTGAGGCATTTGTAGGTCCTACTATTACAAATTTGATTCCAAAGTACTTAAAAATTTAATTTCTCCTGGTAGAAATGTAATTAGTGATATCTAAAATACAATTCTGACTAGGAGTATTGTAATTGTAACTAGGTAGAATGATTTAGTGCTATCTATAATAAAAATGTTACTTGTCAGCCTGCCTATTTTATTTTAAAACAGCGCCTCATTTCTTTTTTGAATGTTAGTCAAAATATGTTTTTAAGTATCTAAATCTGTATTTTGGATAGGCATTATTAAAATTTAGATGTCTGAAATTCAGATTTAAGTAGTCATTTATCAATTGTTGATATCTGTAATTATATTTCTATTAGTAGAATATATTTTAGATGTCAAGAATTGGATTTCTGGACATCTGTAATGTTACATTCATTTTTAATATCTGACATAGTAATTTTGACTAGCAGTAACTCTGTTATGGAGATCTAAAATTAGAATTACTCCTATTCAGAATTCATTTCAGATAGGAAGAATGTTTATTTTAGATAGGAAGAATGTTGTTTTAGATATCTCGAGGTAAAAGCCCAATACACATGAATGGGAAATGTGACGTCATTTGTACTAGTAAGAATTACATTTCAGTGATCTGTAATGTATATTTTAGATAGGAAGAATGTTATTTTAGATATCTGAAATGCTGATTTTGACTAGGAAGAAATGCATTTGATTCATCTTAAATATCTATTCAGTCAAGCGAATAAATGTCAAAGGGGACTCAAAGATTTTTAGGTATTTGAAAGTTTGTTCTTACAAGTACAATTGTATTTTCAGCAGCCTGAAATGTAATTTTTGCGAGCAAAAATGTATTTTAGGATATCTATTTGTACATTTCTGACTAGTAGGAATGTAGTTTTGACTAGGAAGAATCTTATTTTAGAGATCAACAAATGGAACATTAGAGAGGACAGCACTTCTAATAAATGTCAAAACGGCCTGCCATACCGGCTGTACATTTCATACCGCGCAGGATCAGGGTAGTTCCTTTAAGTCTCTAGGGCCCAGCTAGTGGACAATGGATGATTAGAGGGAAATTAGACAGTTTATTTGACTAAATCTATTTTTGCTTTTAGATTGTCAGAAAAGAGAAAACTCCTCCATATTTTCATGGTATAATTCCCACACTGTCCCTAGATATCTACAAAGCGTTATCAAGCGTTAAACAGCTGAGAATATAGCCAAAATTAAACTTACCTCTGAAAGAGCTTAGCATCTGTTTTTGTTGGTGTTGGCACAAAACCTTTAAAAGCGTGGGTGATCCTGTGTTCGCATTTGAGGTTCTTTGGCCTGTAGCAAAACCAGGGCTCACTTGTGTGGATATCAGTGAAGTTGCATAGCTGCTCTGGAGGTGCCTGAAGGCACACATTACAATTGGTAGCTTCAGTTACTGAGCCTGAGCGAAAGAGGCTTTGAAAATAAAGTCTGCCAGGCTTTTGCAGGTTGACTCTTTCCATCACTGTAACTGCTTCACTGGAGTGGACCAGGGTCACCTTTTGAAAAAGAACAAAAATTCTAAGAAACAGTCTTGCAAAGAAGTAGTTAAGCATTTACAATACACAGGTTGTCCAGTTTTATATATAAGTTCAAGGTAATTAAGATTTCTCACAGTACAGTGTGTTTAATTAGGATTCTGACCTCTCAGTCTGCACAACAACTATCTGATTTTGATTCTTTGTTCTAAAGCAATTTAAATCACTGCTTTCAACAGCGTCTTCACCTCAAGCCCCTTAATCATGTCTTATTCAAAATACACTTAACTCCCCGTTAACCTGGCTTAATATACAGGCTCAGGTTGACAAACTGAGACCAAGTGCCAAATTGCCAAAGGCCATGTTTGAGTAAAAGTTCAGCACTCCTTCCTTTTCGGCCTGATATGAATGTATTTCTGTACCCTGGATTTCCCTGTTCTACTCAACCAACACTGAATATTTCCCCGGCTCCTTATGTCTGGACACCAACCTTGTTTTTGCTTCCTGACCAATGTCTCCTGCCTGTCTCCTGGATCTGACTGATCTAATTTTTGAGGTTCTAAGTTCAAGCCCAACTCCCATGGACTGCCACTCTTTATCCCTGAGCAAGACTCTTAACCCCAACACTGCACAATGGCAGCCCAATGCTCTCCAAAGGGATGGCTTAAATGCAGAGAGTTAATTTCGTTGTTCTTCACTTGTGACGGTGCAATGACGATAAAAACGCTGGGAAAATGAAAGGAAATGAAAGAAGAGTGCTGGACGGGTTTAAATCATATCTATAATCTGACCAATTGCAGTTTGTTCACATCAGTGATAAATCTTCCTCGTGCTTCAGGGTTAACTGTGGAGTACCACAGGGATCAGTTTTAGGACCAATTCTCTTTACTATATATATGCTCCCTTTACTATATGAAATATTTTGTACTGCATTTTGCAGTATATCTATTTATTCATCCTTGCACTGTTCTGGACTTCCACATAAATGCCGTTTTGCACCCTGTTTCTCCCACGCTGTTTACATTTGATCACTACTGCACTTGATGAACGAAAATGTTGTTTTCCACCGCTAAGCTGTTGCTCATTCAATGTCGGAAAGCTGTATAAGTAAAATTTTGTTTTGTATACACTCTATGTATACAAAATGACAAGACAGTTTTTTTCTAAGACTATTAGACAGCATAGGATTAATTTCCACTGTTCTGCTGATGATACTAAGCTATATCTGACTACAAATCCAGATGGAACTAACCCCAGAACATAGATTACAGACATGTCTCAAAGAGATAAAAACCTGGATAAATCTTAACATTCTGCTCCTGAATGCAGACCAAACAGAAGTTATAGTCTTTGGACCAGAGTCTTTGAAAAAGAAGCTGATTACACAGTATTTTCATTTGGATGGGATTATCCAATTTCCTTCTTTCTTATGCAGAATATTGCAAAAAAAATTGAAATATCCTGTCCATGGGGGATGCTGAGAAACTAGTCCAAGGATTAGACTATTGTAATTCTGATGAAAATGAAAAAGAGATCATATCTCTCCTATCCTAGCTGACCTTCATTGGCCTCTTGTTAAATCCAGAATAGAATTTAAATTCCTCCTTCTAACATATAGAGCCTTAAATGGCCAAGCTCCATCTTACATCGGCGATATGATTGTCCCTTATGCTCCTAGCCGAGCACTTTGCTCTCAATTTGCAAGTTTACTAGTGGTTCCCAGAATTTTTTTTCTTTTCTTTTTTTTTTCTTTCAGTGTCCTGTCTGGCAATGTGGCAATAAGAATAATGTTCTTCATGCCAAAAACAGCCCAACAGATTTTGCTTTCACAAGTGGAGCAGTATGGCTATCGCCATAGTGTTCTGCTTGATTTATGCATATAAATAGCTTTATTGTAATTCATGCAGGGAGTATTACAGATTATATGGACACTGCAATGTAAGTAGAACAGGTAAGGAAAAACAGAGAAAAGGAGAAAAGATGAAAGAAAGAGGAGATAAAAGGGGGGATAAAAGAGAGAAAATGGTTCCTAGAAAGTCTAACAGAAGAATAGGAGGCAGATCTTTTAGTTATCAGGCTCCTCTCCTGTAGAACCAACTTCCAGTTTTAGTCCTTGAGGCAGACACCCTGTCTACTTCTAAAGTTAGACTTAAAACTCTCTTTTTGATAAAGCTTATAGTTAGAGTGGCTCAGGTTATCCTGAGCTATCTCTACAGTTATGCTGCTATATGCTTAGACTGCTGGATGACACAGGGACCCTACTTCATCATTTTATCATCTATCTCTATTCTCCCACTCCGCATAATTTGTTAGTTCAATCTCTAACGCTATGCTCTCTCTGCTTTTTCTCATTGTAGCTTCATCTGGTCTGTTCCTGTTTGACTCTGACACCGTCCTGGAGAGAAATAGCAGCTGCTCTGCTGCCATCAACACCTTTGTTTATAGATGTTCAAGCTCTGCCTGTTTTTCAGTGTAGTCCTGTTTCTCTGACTGTGACAGGCTGGATTTGCTCTATTTATCCTCTTACATGGGAGCTCAGGGCATGTCTGCCTGGCTGTGTGTTTCCTGGATGGGGCCACCTGTGGATCTGGTTGACAGTTACCTTTTGCATCTCTGCTTTTTTCTGTATGTCTGCTTCTCTCTTATTGAACCCCAGTCGGCCTTGGCGGATGACTGCTCAAACTCAGCCTGGTTCTGCTGGAGGTTTCTTCCTCTTCAAAAGGAGTTTTTCCTCTCCACTTTTGCTACAAACAAGTGTAGTGCGAATGATTGCCTTCAAGTCAATCAGTCAATGCAATCAACTGGTTGTCCTTACAGTAGATAGAAAACTTGGATACATTTGACTGTACTGAATTCTAAAGTGCCTTTTGCTCTCATCTGCTTTGGTCTGCCTTGCGCTCATTATCTCTCATCAAATCCACCTATTTTTGCTGTTATTTAAGCCTCTCTATCCCAGCCTCTGGTGCCAGATTATTCTAGCTTCTAGCAAGACTAACTTTAGCTAGCTTTCCCAGTGTTTAGTTCTCTCTGTTCCTGACCTGTTTCTGTCCTCAGACTTCTGAGTATTGGCTGCCCCTGTTCTACCTGATGTCGACCTTGGACCTGTCTTTTTACCACCGCTGGGATTTAATCTGCTGGATCCATCGTCTCCCTTGTGTGCTCTGCCTGCTGAAAGATGCAACTTGTTCTTTACATCAAATGTTTGTGATTTAAAACAAACCAGACTCTAAAACAGGTAAAATCCTTCTTAATAAAACATGTGGATAAAACACAAGAAGGCAGGAAGATGAGATTAGCTGCTGAATAGTTTCTTCTATACTTTTATAATTTATTTGACAGAATTGGGGTATTTATTCTAACTGGTGACATCACTGGCACTGGCATTGCCGTTGATGTACACACTGCTGTTCTAATACCTTGTATTTTCTCAATAAAGACATTTTAAAAGTCATTGCAGGCCTTTTTATAATGGAGTTCATGACGATAGGAAGGTTTGTTAGCATGTCAACTCTGGCAGATTAGTATTGAACATTGTTGATGTTTTTTGTTGATAATCTCAAAGATTTTCTTGCAGCTTTATTTGTAAATTATGTTTTTTAAGTTTCTCTACAGATTCCATAGTGAACTTGGAGTTCCTTCTTTCCCCACCTCCGTTCGGCTTTTCGGCATTCCTTCTTTTCTGTTCGGATTGCTGCAGCCTTTCTACATGGAGATTTCATCTTTGCATAGACAACCTTCACTTTAACTTGAGCAATGGAATCAATGATGTCTGTAACTTTAGAATGGAAATGATCAACCAGCTCATCTACTGAGTTCCAGGGTAAAGTCAAAGCATAAGGATAAACTTGGGTAAAGTTATCAAATCTACTATCCATGATTACATGCTTTCATTTAACATCTCTTTTTGTAATTAGACCAATGGCAAAGTTGGTTTCAAAGTAAACAGAAAAATAGTCTGATAGGGCAACATCACTTGCAGAAACATTAGAAATATTTAGAAATATTAGAAATAACAGAAATATTTAGATCATTACTGAGGACCAAGTCCAAAATATGTCTTCGATTGTGTGTTGGCTGTTTCAGTCAAAGCGACATTTTGAAGAATGTCACACAGTTATGTTCTACTTCTGTATTTAGGGTTCTCAGCATGTCCAAAGTTTCCCATAACAATAAAGCAGTCATGTTAAACATATATCATGGATAAAAGTTCCTTAAAATCATTAAAAAACTTTATTTTGGACTTTGGAGGCTGGTAAACATTCATAAACATGGTTCGAACAAGGCCCTGTACTCGTCAAAAGATTCACCCAGGATCACTTTTCTAACTTTGTAAATCATGAAACAGAGTAACAAGTCCTCCTTTTTTAAGTAGTCTGTTCTAATGGAGAAAATTGCATCTGGGAACTATGATCTCCAATAAAATCCGCATCTCATTTTTTTCATCTAGCCCAGTCCCTGTTAGAAACATAAAGTCAAGATTTTGCTGAATAAGGAAATTGTTGATAAAAAAATTTATTTTCTTTACAGAGGTCTTATGTAAATTAAAGCCAGCTTAAATGCCTTGGTGGTTATTGATTGTCTAGCTTGTTGAGCTCCACATTCTATATTTATTATTTTAAAGTTAGATGTTAGATGTTTTACTACTGTTTATTATTCTATTTCTGCTCTTGCTGCCACACATTAAAATAGATTTTCCATCCATTTTCCTTTCGAGGCCCCACTTTTCCTGGGGAGAATCAGTTCTAATAAAGTGACCACTGGAACCCGAAGTATATCACAAGAAAGTGATTTAAGCTCCCGATTGCCAAGACTTCCATCTTTCTTTGCATGTGGAGGAGACAGAGCCGATGGGCTTTTAGATGCTACAGGCCGCCCCAATGCGGTCCAAGCTCTGGAACTGTCATGGAAGAAGATGATTACTTTACTTTTGATTTTGAATTTAATGTTGAATTTGATATTCTCTCTGTGTTGGATCTCTGGGTCACCTGTTTTAAGGAGAAGCTCCAAAATAAAACTATGGACAGCTTGGCTATGTGACTTCCTGCTCTAGTCATGTACAGGTGCTGGTCATAAAATTAGAATATCATGAAAAAGTAGATTGATTTCAGTAATTCCATTTAAAAAGTGAAACTTGTATATTATATTCATACATTACATACAAACTCATATATTTCAGATGTTTATTTTGTTTAATTTTGATGATTACAAATGACAACAAATGAAAATCTCAAATTCATCATATCAGAAAATTAGAATATTGTGAAAAGGTTCAAAATTGATGGCCCCTGGTGCCACACTCTAATCAGCTAATTAACTCAAACCACCTGCAAAAGCCTTTAAATGGTCTTTCAGTCTAGTTCTATAGGCTACACAATCATGGGGAAGACTGCTGACTTGACAGTTGTCCAAAAGACGACCATCGACACCTTGCACAAGGAGGGCAAGACACAAAAGGTCATCGCTAAAGAGGCTGGCTGTTCACAGAGCTCAGTGTCCAAGCACATTAATAGAGAGGCGAAGGGAAGGAAAAGATGTGGTCGAAAAAAGTGTACAAGCAAGAGAGATAACCGCACCCTGGAGAGGATTGTGAAACAAAACCCATTCAAAAATGTGGGGGAGATTCACAAAGAGTGGACTGCAGCTGGAGTGAGTGCTTCAAGAACCACCACACACAGACGTATGAAAGACATGGGTTTCTGCTGTCGCATTCCTTGTGTCAAGCCACTCTTGGACCACAGACAGCGTCAGAAGCGTCTTGCCTGGGCTAAAGAGAAACAGGACTGGACTGCTGGTGAGTGGTCCAAAGTCATGTTCTCTGATGAAAGTAAATTTTGCATTTCCTTTGGAAATCAAGGTCCCAGAGTCTGGAGGAAAAGAAGAGAGGCACTTCATCCACGTTGCTTGAAGTCCAGTGTAAAGTTTCCACAGTCAGTGATGGTTTGGGGTGCCATGTCATCTGCTGGTGTTGGTCCATTGTGTTTTCTGAGGTCCAGGGTCAACGCAGCCACATACCAGGAAGTTTTAGAGCACTTCATGCTTCCTGCAGCTGACCAACTTTTTGGAGATGCAGATTTCATTTTCCAACAGGACTTGGCACCTGCACACAGTGCCAAAGCTACCAGTACCTGGTTGAAGGACCATGGTATCCCTGTTCTTAATTGGCCAGCAAACTCTCCTGACCTTAACCCCATAGAAAATCTATGGGGTATTGTGAAGAAGAAGATGCAATACACCAGACCCAACAATTCAGAAGAGCTAAAAGCCACTATTAGAGCAACCTGAGCTATCATAACACCTGAGCAGTGCCACAGACTGATCGACTCCATGCCACGCCGCATTGCTGCAGTAATACAGGCCAAAGGAGGCCCAACTAAATACTGAGTGCTGTACATGCTCATACTTTTCATGTTCATACTTTTCAGTTGGCCAACATTTCTATAAATCCTTTGTTTTTATTGGTCTTCAGTAATATTCTAATTTTCTGATATGATGAATTTGAGATTTTCATTTGTTGTCATTTGTAATCATCAAAATTAAACAAAATAAACATCTGAAATATATGAGTTTGTATGTAATGTATATAATATAATATACAAGTTTCACTTTTTAAATGGAATTACTGAAATCAATCTACTTTTTCATGATATTCTAATTTTATGACCAGCACCTGTATTCCACATTAAACTGTCATGGTCCTGGTGTGATTGTTCCTGTTTTCCTTAGTTATCCATTTGTTGTCCTCTGCTGCCCTCTTGTGTCCTCCCTTCCTGTTTCTCTGTCCTGCCAAGCACCTGTTGCCAATTTCCTCGTCAGCTCTCTCTCTGTCTCTGTCCCTTTTAAAAGCCCTCCCTGTTCAGTTCCTCTTTGCTGGATCCTCGTCAAACATCCCGTCTTGCTTCCTGTCTGTTACCTGCCTGCCCTGTCTCGTCTCTCCCTGGCTTCTAGTTTGATTTAGCCCTGATGTCTCCTTGGTTCAGGTTCGTTTGCTGTTTTTCTGTGGGACTCTGATTCCTGCCCCTGGTTCTGTGAACCAGAATAAACAGGCTTTATTCACCTCTGCATACTGGTCTCTGCGTTTGGGTCCTCCACACAAACACCGATTCATGACATAAACAGATCTTACGTAACTGTTGAATTCAAGTTTGAGGAAAGAAATCTGTCCTACTAGCAAGGTAGTAATTAATGCAATTTTCCTCATATTGTATTGTTGTGGCTGTGTAATAACAGAATGCATACAGGCTATGGGAAAAGCATTGGTTGAGGGGCCCATGACATCACAGGGATTCCAGCTATCTCTTTGGGGATGCCCTGTTATGTTATACATAGGTTGTCGTTGGACATAAGTTCTGGACTCATTATGAATACTCTATGTATACACCCAAAATTTAAAAAACACATTGAAAGTTCAGCGTATGCCAGCATTTTTTCACCAGATTTTTCGTACATCAGGCATAAAGTGGCTAAATCGTCAAGGTGTGACAGGGGCTTAAATGCACTTCTCTTAAAAAGTAGACACAGAGACACACTCTGTACTTTTAAAAGTAGGCTTATGACAATGTTCTCTTCTATTTATTAATGACATATTTTTTTCCATCACTCTCACTTAACAAGAAAGGTTACTGTTACCTCCACTTGAGCACTTCCTTCCCAGAGTAAAGAGAATACAGCGGTGTAGGAACCGTTTAGATGATCCACCAACTGCCCTGCCACGCCTGCATGAAGAGTAGGGTTGTGTAGCCGAGCAAGAAGAACATCTCCCCCTGACTTCTTTGGGCGACTATTGTAGTCAGCAATTTTTATCAAAACCTTCAGTTGATCGCCTACGTGCCAACTTCCACCACCACTTTTTGGAATAATGGTGAAGGTGCTGTGAGCAGGATCACTTGTGTCATTCAGAGAAAAGTTAGATGGTAGAGATGGTGTTTCAGGCCAGGTAATAGACTTCTTCAAAAATTCTGACTCAGAAACATCCTCTGGTAACACAGAATGAAACGAGCAGACACTGGGAGGCGTAGGGAGCTCAGTACGATCTTTGAAAGTTATGTTATCGGGTAGCGGAGCCTCAGTTGTCTGGAATTTCTTCTTTAACTAGAGAAAAAAATAGGAATATAAAAAAAACAAACATCACCAAAATGCAGTTATACTTTTAGAATTCTAGTTAGTCCTACTTCTAAAATACACCAAGAACCATTCACGTGAAATTCATTAAACTTCAGCTATGAAAATTAATTCTCATATTTTTTAAATGCTTTGCAACATATCTGCTTAGCCTAATTATATTAAATAAAAAGATTTTACTTCTGATTTGCATTTTTCACTGTAGTTACTATTTAGTATTTTCCATGTTGGGGTTCCTTGAATTGGAATTGGGAGCCCATGATCTAGACCAAGAATTTTGTTGGAAACTTTAAAGAATTCTTTGAGGATTTCCTTAACCCTGCTATCACCCCTATAAGCAGAAACTTGGTACTTAGAGTTGAACTCATTAATCACCTCAGTTTATAGCTGAGATGCCTGCTTGGCATTGCATGGCATTGGGAACAGTGCCCCTTGACTAAAAAAACTAGCATTATGGTCCCTCTTCACAAGAAAGTTAACTGAAAGGTGTGTTCCAACCACAGGGGCATCATCCAGTCCCTTCAAAAGCAGTGCAGGAGTCTGGTTTGCATTGCCAGCATAAAGTTGTTCCCTGGTGAATGTTGCACTCCTACAGAAATGCTGCTGTGATGGTTTGCAGCTGGAATGAAGTTTGAGTCCATAGTGGTGAACTGGAAAGTGATGGCTTGCCCTCTCAATGTCATAGAGGAGTTCATGTCTGATGTAAGGAGTTCAAGTTTCTCAAGCTCTTGTTCACAAGTATGGGGAGAATGGAAGGGGACATGAAAAGATATGTTGGTGGTGCTTCCAGAGTATTTTTTTCCCCCTATTTTGTCAATTTTATTAATTTTTTTCTTTTTTTTTATTCTCCCAGAGTAATTTTGTTTTGCATTAGTTTGTCGAGCCAAAGCAGGAGCTTTTGATGTGCATTGCTCATCCCCTCGAACACTGGCATTGATGTTATACCCTGAGATTATAAGCTATTAGTTAAGAAGAACCTATAAATAATATGATGTATAATGTCATGCCTGATTAGACAATATTACACATTTCACTCAATCCAAACAACTGTATTTTATTAATGAATGATTGTTATATGGACAGAGCTTTACCTTCCTAAGATTGTGGGAAAAACTTTATTTTTGACATCTTATGATGCTTTTATATTTCAAGTTAATGTTTTAAAGATCATTAATACTCACCTCTGGTGCTTTACAGATTATGTGATCAGGGAAGTTGCTACTGTAGTACATGAACCATACACCAAACAACATCAAGAAAAGGAAGAAACAACTGAACTTCTGAAGAAAAGGTTTTCTTAAAACTTGGCCTCCCATTATCAGTGCTGACTGATCTCGCCCTGTGTAAAAAATAAAAAGTCAAAAAAGCATTTAGATTATGGATTGTTAGTTCTTTAATCAATTTTGAAAAATTTAATGAGTGAATCTATTTTATTTTTTTTACGTCTTTCCATGAGAGGACATAGAAACAACACAAGTAAATTCCAGTAGAAAATCATAAAGTAACCAGTATAATTTTTACAACCCTTTAATCACAAGTTTTATTCGGAAGAACTAAAAATGTTAATTTATTTTCCAATGTATGCACTTCTTCCAGAAACAGCAATCCTTTAGAATAAAGGGTACTGAATTGACTTCTTTAAAAGCTTTTAAAATGTAAAAACAGGTGAAAAATATACAATGTTAAATTTTCCATCCCATAAAAAGTCTTTACTGTTATACTTTTGAGTAACATATATTTGATATTGCACAGAATGCATTTTATATATTAAATGTTTCCAAAAAACCTAAACTGAAATAAAAAAAAAAATATATATATTTTTTTGTCTTTGCATTAAAATGTCATTATTGATAATCCATTGAGCACATTTTTTTTTTTTTTGATAATCCCAGAGGGAAATTACTTCTCTGCTTTTAACCCATCCCCTTGGGGAGAGCAGTGGGCTGCCATTCTGCGGCTCCAGGGGAGCAGTGTGGGGTTGAGGGTCTTGTTCAGGAACCCAGAGTGGCAGTCTGTGGGAGTGGGGGATCGAACTCAGAACCTCAGGATTCCAAGAGAGTAATGACTGACAGTAAGGACAGTAATTAGGTAACTGAGGAAATTATTCAGCCTCTGATTTACATCTGCAATCTGTCATTTCAGTCGGGTAAATTTCCAGAAAAGATGAAAATTAACAAAGTTGTTCCACTTTATAAATCTGGTGACAGACACTATTTCAAAAATTAGATGCCTGTTTCTTTACTTCCAGAGTTTTCCAAAATTTTGCAGAAATCATTTAGAGACATTAATTAACCTCTCAGAACCCAATGGGTTTTGCGAGGTTTGAGTTTTGAGAATAACTCAGAATGCATGAGTTATTTTTACCAATATAGACATGTTAGACATCATTGGAAAGCTTAGATTCTCCACAATTCAACCAACAAGTTCATTTTATGGACATAGCTAGCACCAAAGCACAATGAACACAGATATAGCGGCATGTCAAAATGTAAACATGACAAAGCAGCCACAGCTACATACATACGAAGACACCCAGAAGCCGTTTTATAAATCCAATCTTCAATTCTTTATACTCCATTCGTCCATAAGGGTCCACAGATTAAAAGTAATCCAGCATATTAGTGATAAAAATATTCCATGATGAGAAAATCAACCATAACGTCCAGTTGTTGACATCAGAAAAGTTAGCTAATTCTCAGCAGCTTACTAATATTTACTTCCTACTACTTATTTCCTCACTTGTTAGTCCGCAATGTTTGGTATGGTTCTTTCAATCGTGTTCTTATCTACAAGACACAAGTGTCTGCTTATTTTTATGACACGATTTGAGCCAAATATAGTCCCCAAAATCTCACTTCCGGACCCTTTCTGTCAGCCAGTGACGCGTCATAATTCTCTGCTGTCATTGGTTAAGTTAGGCTTTGTAGCCAATGATAAAAGGTTTCAAACGAGCCCAAATGTTGGATGCAAGTTCAGTCTGTGCCCAGAGAAGGAGTGAAGTCCGGAGGAGCGGGAAACGGCAGCTTGAAACTGAGCTGGTGTATCCTTGTTATCCTTGTACGTGTAATCATTAAAGGCTATATCCAGTAGGAAAATTACTTTTTTCTATGTGAAATTTTGTACTTAAAGTTATATTTGTGTTTTATATTAGCTTATAATTTCTCTATGTTTTACTATTCTTAATAAACAGTCTTTGTTCTAACATGAGGCATTTTATTTCGTCCCATATTGCCAGAATTGGTATCTCCATCAACTCTATGCATCCAACATAGGAATATACATATTCTTAAGATTATTATTAGACACTAGGCTTGAACTACATCAACCATAGTGTTTGTAGATTTTAAGCAGGGCTGTCTGTCCCTGCTTAATTTGTCTCCCCTGTCTAAACTGGACACAAAGAGTTCCAGCTTTTTAATTTTTGGCTTACAAACATGTTTTATGATGAAAAATCACTCCTAAAAAATTTGAGGTGATATACTTTTGTTTTGTAAACTTACAAGGGGGAACAGAATAAAGCAACCTGTCTTTCCCTGCAATAATCAGTTCCACCTGTGTAAATCAAACACAAACAGTCCTAGGTTTTTCATTTTTGGGTTAAAAACATGTTTTATGATGACAAATCACTCCTGAAACTTTGTAGTTGATAGTTCTTAGTTTTGTAAGGTTACAAGGGTGAACAAATCAAGCTGACAGGCTGCTTTTATCTGTTCCCCCTTGTAACTTTACAAAAAAAAGGTCTTACCAAAAGGCCTCCAATATAGAATCGCAGCCAGGGAATATAAAATATTTTTTTTTTATCAACATCTCTTTGAAACTTGTGGATTGAATAAAATGAAACCACACCCCACTCTTAAAGGGGTCATAAAATGATTATATAGGGTATTTGGTGCTGGTCCTTAAGGCCTCTGAATAGGGTGTCTAAAGCCGGGCATGCACTGTGCGATTTTTTCAATTGCTCCATGCAGCCACAGCTCACATTGTACGAAAAAACCACAGGGTTTTGTCATACAGTGTGAGTTCACAGCTCACGATGTATGTGCAGCACGACACACTGATGCGATCTACCTCATACTGTATGTCTAAAAACCACGTCGGACTCAGCTCAGCATGTGGCTATTACGGTCTGTCAATTTTACAGAAAGAACTCCATTTCACTCGCACCCCCACTAGGGCTGGGCGATAATTCGATAACGATATATATCGATCGATAGACGTGTGGCGCAATAGAAAAAAAGAGGGTCGATAAAAGTTCGATAAAAAAGAAACACAGTTTTCCTTCCTTCTCATTGTAGCCTATCATGCAGGCTTATGCTAGTCACTACTTCCTCCCAACCAATCACAATCGCGGACCCAGGCACGCCGTCACCAAGCGCCGCCCTCTCAAACCACAACACAGAGCATGTGAAGATGTCGCAGCAAGGAGAGGCGGAGGAAATTGTACCGAAGAGGGGGTTTTGTAGCTCGCCAGTTTGGCAGTATTTTGGCTACAGAAAGTCGAACAAAAAACAAACTACAGTAATATGTAAAATCTGTAGGGAAACCGTGAAAACTAAGTCTGGCAATACAACCAACTTATTCTATCATCTCAGCCGCTCACACCCGCAGGAGTACGAGCTGTGTAGGCCCCCGGCGTGGCTCTGCATCATCCTCCGAGGAAGCGTCGGGAATTTCTGCCAAAACAAAGCAGGCGACACAAGCTAAATTGGACTTCCTGGTTTCTGATAAATACGACAAAGCATCCAAGCGGCACAAGGACATAACTCATGCTATAACATGCTTCATAGCAAAGGATATGCTGCCGTTTTCTGCTGTTGAAAAACCTGGGTTCAAACAGCTGCTCGCCACTCTGGATCCACGATACGAAGTTCCGGGCCGAAAGTTTTTCTCAAACACAGTGCTCCCAAATTTGTACAATGAGTGCAGGGAATCAGTCAAAAGTGAGCTGCTTTCTGTATGTTACTATGCTA